TATCTCGTTGCTATGCCGAAACAAAATTAATTTCTTAGGATTCTATATAGTGAGTAAACCAAACATACCAACAGTTCAAATAAATGAAACATGCATTGCCACATAAATGAAGAGCAATGCTATTTATTACGAAAATTAATATAATTCTTAATTTATTCAAATAGACATGGTGGTGAAAAATGTCAAGTTGAAATGCCTACACGTATGGCAACTGGCTGAGAAGTTCTAGTGAATGAAACTGGTTCGTGAAATTTTGCATTCTTGACAGTCAATATCACAGTTCAAGAAATTTAAAGTGAATTAACGAGCATTTAAAAAAAAAATATTTTACCTTTCCCATAACAGAATAAAAAACCAAGTCTCTCTTTAATTAAAACAGTCTAAGTTAATAAATAAGAGCATGTTGTTGGAGATTTCAGTGCTAACTGGAACAGATAATTGTAGATTCTAGGAATAAACACGGAGAAAAAAGATTCTGCAGTTAAATTTGATTTAACAAACAAAAACTAAAAACGGTTGGTGTTGGATTCTATTCGGCTAAGGAAGGACTAATTTATTAATGTCGGTTTGAGTTTGACTAAGACCTTTTTAAACAGAAAAAGATGAACCCCACTAAAACAGATTCTTCCCTGCGAGGTTTCAGGAATTATTGGGATAACAAAAAACAACAAAATAGGTATTTTCTTGTATTCTTTTATCACAAACACGTTTTGTATTAAAGCCAAATCGAGAAATAGGCAAAACAAAGCCGATACGTTTCTTAGCAACGCGTGTTATGTATTGATGAATGAATGAGCATGTTCACTCTCCAGTCTTACCCAAATCCAAACAAAAGAATCCATAGCTCAGGAATGGAATCCTATTCACTTGATCACTCATTCAAAAACGACTACTATTGAAAACTCTAGCAAATAATAATTTGCAACCAACAATAACAAGACTACAGGTTAGTTTTTTGAGATGGTAAACAAAGAGCATAGATTAATGAACTTATATACTAGCACAAACCACATATATGATATGAGAGCATAGAAGTGCATAAGTTGCTATAAAATTAAGTCAAATTAAAGCACATGCAATGATTTGAACTATAAATAGTTCATTTCTTAAAGAACATGCAATGATTTGAACTATAAATAATTCATTTTATAAATTGCAAGTGTCTTTTGTACAAACATTTAATTGGATATATTTACTAAATTTTTACCTTATGATTGAAACTCTTAAGTTATAAATCTTTCTTATAAACAATTAGATAATTAGTGTTACATTTGTTAAAAGTGGTTAAGATAAATTGGACGGGTTATTTTATAAAATTTTTGTTTTATATAAATATAAGAAAATATAATTCTTTTTTACATGATCGTCTCTATAGAAGTAAAATCATATTTTTAATGCGATTCTAAGTGAATGTTAAAATCTTATTCTTTAGTTAAGAAACACAAGTAAGTTAATGACTTTTTGATATTTTCATGATTACATGTCTTAATGGCTAAATATTTATAAAAAAACAAAATGGAGGTGGTTTGTGTGATTGATAACAAGGCAATTTGTCTATCAATTAGTTAATTTTGTATTGTCAAGCATGAAAAAGTTGTTAATATTTGTATCAAGAGTAATCTTGTAAATTTTAGTATAAAATTTATTCTAAAAAATATGTAAAATTTGACTTGGACATGTAAATTAACACCTAGCACAAGTTAAGTAGGATGTGCTTCAATGGTTAAGATGTTGAATTGAATAATCCAACATGTCTTTTACTCTTTTATGACTTGAGTTAAAATGTTAGATTCTCATTAGCCTTAGTATGAGTTTATAACAAAATTTAATATTAAAATTTATTAAAATAAAACAAAAAGATATTTCAATAACTTTTTGGAATTGAAAATCATTGTTAAGTAAAAAAAACAATACTAATATAAATAGTTAAAAGTAGTGTGGTGAGAAGATTGTCAAAGATAATGACCACCTATAAATATTTTAGCACTTAAATAAGTTTCAATTTTGATAGTGTTTTAGTAAAGGAGGGGTTTGTATGAAATATTTACAAAGAATACAGGTAACTTGTGTGGTAGGTAATAAGGCATTTTGTTGGTTAACAAGTTACTTTTATGCAATCAAAGAGTGAAGATATTATTCATATTTGTGTTATAAAGTAATCTTGTAACTTGTAGTGTACAACTTATCTAAAAAAATGTGTGACATTTGATTTTTAACTTCTAAATCAACACTTGATAGCAAGTAGGTGTATCTCAATGGTTGGGATGTCGAACCAAATAATTTGATATGTCTTTTATGAGTCGAGTTTAATTGTTAAGTTCTCTTCAAACTTAGTATGAGTCCATAATAAAATTTAATTAAAATTTATTAAAATAAAACAAAAATCATTTCAATAACTTATTGGAATAAAAAGTAATTGTCAACTTCAAATAAATACACTCCCTTAAACTATAATAGTTTTAAATAATGGTGGTGAAAGGATTGTCAAGAATGATGATCACTTATGAATACTTTAATGCTTAATTAAGTTTAAATTTCAATATTATTTTAGTATTGGAAAGGAAATAATATATTTGGAGGAGACATTTGTAAGATATATTTGTAGAAAAAATAAGGTGACTTTGTATTTTAGGATGATTGAAAATTTTGTCGATTGATCCATTAGTTACTTTTGCACAATTTAAAAAAAAAAATTGCTTATATTTATATTGTGAAGATTTTCCGTAACTTGTAGCATATAATTTATCATGAAAAAATATGTGAAATCTGACTTTGAACATGTAAATTGACACTCGATACAAGTTAAATAAGGTGTATTTCGATACTCACAATATTAAACTGAATTATTTGACATGTCTTTTTATGAATTGAGCTAAATTTTTTAGTTCTTTATGGACTCAATATAGATATAGGACACAATATAATTATAAAATTTATTAAAATAAACTTAAAATTATTTCAATAACTTTTAGAAATTATAAATCATTGTTATAAATACACTCTCTTAAAACTACAATAGTTTAAAATTATGGTTGTGAAATGAGTGTCATGGATGATGCTCACTTATGAATACTTTAAAAATTAAATAAGTTTAAATTTTGACACTATTTTAGTATCATAATGGAAATAATATATTTGGAAGAGACATTTGTAAGATATATTTATAGAAAAGTTAAGGTGACTTGTGTTTTTGATGATTAGATATGTTTTTTTTGTCAATTTAGTAGTTAGTCTACTAGTTATTTTTGCGCAATTTAAGTATGAAAAAGTTGTCTATATTTATGTTATGAGGAATTCCCGTAACTTGTAACATAAAACTTTCTTTGGAAATATATGTAAAATTTGATTTTGAAAATGTAAATTAACACCTAGTATAAGTTAAGTGTATTTTGATACTTACAATGTTGGACTAAATAATTTTATATTTCTTTAATGAATTGAGTTGAAGTGTTAAGTTTTAATTAAATTTAGTATGGATCTAGAACAAAATTTATAATTATAAAATTTAGCAAAAACAAAATTGAAATAATTTCAATAACTTTTTGATATTATAAATTAGTTAATTCTAAATAAGCACATTCTCTTAAACTACAATAGTTTAATACGATGGTGGTGAGAAGATTATCAAAGATTATGAACACTTTAATACTTAAATAAGATTTATTTTTAATATTATTTTAACATAAAAAATATTTGGAGGAGATATTTGTATGATATATTTATGGAAAAATGAAAGTAACTTGTATTTTAATATAATTGGATATTGTCGGTTTACTAGTTACTTTTGCAAAATTCAAGTATGAAAAAGTTGCCTATATTTATGTCATGAAGAATTCACGTAACTTGTAGTGTAGAATTTTCTTTTAAAAAATACATGAAATTACACTTTGTATGATATATTTGTAGAAAAGCAAAGGTGTGTTTTAAGATGATTGACCATTTTGTCGGTCGATCCACTAGTCGATTCACTAGTTACTTTTGCATAATTTAAGTATGTAAAGATGTATATTTATATTATGAAGAATTTTCGTAACTTGTAACGTAGAATTTACTTTTAAAAATATGTGAAATTAGATGTTTGTATGATAATTTGTAGAAGGTGACTTGTGTTTTAGGATGATCAAACATTTTCTTGGTCAATCCATTAGTTACTTTTGCGAAATTCAAGTATCTAAAAGTTGTTTATATTTATGTCATGAAGAATTCCTGTAACTTGTAACGTATATTTTACTCTAAAATAATGTAAAATTAGACTTTATATGATATATTTATCAAAAAGCAAAGATGACTTGCGATTTAGGATAATTGAACATTTTGTCGGTTGATCCATTAGTTATTTTTGCACAATTTAAGTATGGAGAAACATATATTTATAACATGAAAGGATCTCGTAACTTGTAGCGTAGATTTAATTGTGAAAAAGTATGTGAAATTTGACTTTTTGACATGCAAATCGACACCTAATACAAGACGTGTAAAGTGCATATTAAATAAAACAATTTGACGTGAGTTTTATAAGTTAAATTGGGAAGTTCACACTAGACCTAATATAAGTCCAAAAATAAAATTTAATTATAAAAATTATTAAAACAAAATAGAAATTATTTCAACAACTTATTGAAATTAAAGAAAAATAGATTACATGTATTTTTTTATATATTTTTTTATCGAAGAGAATCCTATGATAAAACTACTAGTTAAACTAAAAAAGAATGAGACGTTGGTGGGGTTAAAAAATAGAATGCAAAAGTTGAATGAAATGATAGAAGGTGTAAAATGATTAGTTTGAATGAAGAGGTGAAGAGGTGAAAAGGGGAGTTTGCAGTTTGGAGTGAAGGAAAGAGAGGGGAAAAAAGACTAATAAAAGGAAAAACGTGTTGGTATTGAAGAGGTGATGAGGTGGACCCACCACAACAGATTTTCCTAAAACTAAAATGGGTGTTTGCGGAGTAATGAAAAAATGAATTAATTAATTCCGCGTCTCCTATAAATGAATGTGCGTATAAGCTGCCACCAAACAAACGCAGAAGCGAAATCTCCTAGAAAGCGAGTCAGCCAAAACAAACCATTGGAACACGAAACACAGCAAACAACACAACATCGATCATGTTTCCGGAGACCAGCGCAACGCGGTGGCCAACTCACCCCACTCAGTGGACTCGCTTCCACGACAAGCTCTTCGAGCGGGCGCTGCTCGCCGTGCCGGAGGACATGCCCGACAGGTGGCAGAAGATCGCCGACCAGGTCCCCGGCAAGTCCGCGGCCGAGGTCAGGGACCACTACGACGCCCTCGTTCACGACGTCTTCGAGATTGACTCGGGCCGAGTCGAGGTCCCCAGTTACGTCGATGACTCGCCGCCGCGCGCGCCCACCGCCGCTGCCGGAACCTCCTCCTGGGACTCTGCTAATCAGATCTCATTCGGCTCCAAGCCTAAGCAAGGCGACAACGAAAGGAAAAAGGGCACGCCTTGGACTGAAGAGGAACACAGGTTTTGCTTTAATTCCGTCTCTCTTTTTTTTTTTTTTCTTTGGGGTTTTCGTGTGATCATTTTCAAAAAAGAGGGAAATTTTTTTCAAACCAATTTTGGGTTTCTGTTTCATCTTGTTTTGACCTGCAAATTTTTTCAGTTGCTGTTTTATTTCATTTTTTCCCTTTTTTTTTTGCTTGATCACCATTTGCTTCTATAATTTGAGTTCTTTGTGTAATTTTTCTTCTAAAGCTCCTGTTAATTCCAAAGATTTTAATTTTCAGCTGCTCTTAGCTGTGCCTATTTACCAAAAAAAACCTTAATTTTGTTCCCTTTAATTTAATAATTCTCTCACTAAGTCTTCCATTTTTATTTTTATTTTAATGTTTGAATGATTGTGAGAGAGCTTTATCATCTTTGCACATAATAGTGCATTTTTTTTTTGTTTCTTGTTGGCTAACGACTGAAATAATTTTTGTTTCCAGGGAATAAGAAAATGGAAAATGTCATTTATCTGCATTCCAATATTTTTTTTGGCTGTCAACTTTGTCACCTTCAATTAATGGTTTCTTAGTTAAACAGACACAAAATCTATATTCCTCTATCTGTAGTTGTTGAATTGAATTGTGAGTCCTTGTTGGGAGTGGCATGAAGGTGAAGGGCAATGCAATGCTAATATTTTTCTTGTTTCTATGATTCTACGACAGGCTGTTTCTGATTGGACTGAGTAAATTTGGGAAGGGAGATTGGAGAAGCATTTCAAGAAATGTTGTTGTGACAAGGACACCAACTCAAGTGGCGAGTCATGCTCAGAAGTACTTTCTTCGCCAGAACTCGGTGAAGAAAGAGAGGAAGAGGTCAAGCATTCATGACATAACCACTGTGGATAGTAACTCCGTGCCTGTGCCCATTGATCAGAATTGGGTTCCTCCTCCTGGTACTGCTTCCGTGCAGCAGCCACAAGACATGCAGCAATACCCACCAAGCAACTTGCATGATCAAATGGGACAATTTGGGTACTCCAACTATGGCTTTCAAATGTGAAGATATGTTTTGTACAGAGTGCTTTGCTTTAGCTCTCTCTCTTTGTAAAGTTTATGGTTTTGCTAGGTGACAAAGGGTGATTAGGAGTATGGCTAATTATTTTAAATTTATTAGTGTAGGTTTCGTTTGAATACCTTTGTGACATAAATGAATCAGCTAGGAGTAAAGGGTAGTGAAAACAAATAGGAATGATTTCATCAGAACAGAAATGGAAATTCTTTCTGTGTCCAATTCAATTTTAGCATTTCAAAGTATTGAAGCTTAGTTCTATGCATTCAATCAGTAATCAAAGCCTGTGATCTTATTAAAGGTAGTGAAAAGCGTTGCAGAACTTTTTATGTAGAATAATGCACCGCGTTTCAGAGGCGCACATTGTTCACTGAACCTGCGCCCACTATCTCAGTTTAGTCCCCTCCTTTTTCTTCTTCGCTGAAGACAAAACTTCACGAAATCAATTGCACATTAATAGCGCAATTTAAGAAAATCTTAAAATAATAAAAAGGTGGTGCTGAATTAAGGATTGAAAACCAATTTCCGTCTAGTGTAAGCATCATTTTTCGGGTTTATTACAAATTAAAAACTAGAAATTACAACACAAGAAAAATAAAATCTCGAAAACAACGTAGCAAAACCCAATATGAGATATAAAAATATAAAACCTTTAATATCCGAACTCCATTATAGCCCAGATAAAATTAGATAAATTCTTAAATTAGCCCTTAAGGCTGTACTATACATCAGTCATTATGGTCCTTAATTTGTTAAGACTTATTGCTGTTATACAAAAGAAGAAATCATATTAATCATTTTCACTTTATTCTTCATTGTTGTTTTACACCAAAAGGAACCAATGTAAATGACATTTTCCAAAGTTTTTAAAATTTCGTAGATTAAAAATCTAATGCATATAATGTGGACTGATACACAAATTATTACTTCCTAAAAAGCTCCCGCATATCCTGTATCTCCTAAGTTACTTTTTGATGCACCAACGTTACATAGGAGGAAAATGGCATAACAAAAATCTTGATGGCTTTAAACCTAAACCAAAGATTGCATCAGCGTGCATCTGAGAACCCGTGATTTCCCTCACACTTTAATTGCATCAGCGTCCATTTGAGAACCCGTGATGTTGTAATATCATCATTCTTAAGTGTTGGTGACGTTGGGCTAATAAATCCCTATACAAATCATCACTTTCAGCCCAATTTGAAAATACTATTGCTTAAATGCTGTTTTCCCATCACATTTTTAATTAAGTGATATTAATCTTTCAATTTTATCAAATGTTAAAATTAGTTTTTCTATTAGTTTGATATAAAAAAATTTAAAACAAAATTTGCCAAAATGAATCATCTTATTTAATTAATAAGTTGATGTATTGGAAGTCAGTGCTATAATGTGTTAGAACTTAGGCTGATTATTCTTATAGTGATGGAACGATCGTCAAGGATTTCAATTTTTTTTTATAGAGTTTTAGTATTATAAAAGAAATAGTATATTCAGAGAAGACGATTAAACGACATATTTATAATAAAAAAAAGTGAAAGTGGCTTGTGTGATAAAATAATGAGACATTTTTGTCTACTTTTGCACAATTTAAATACAGATAAATTGTCCATATTTATATCAAGAAGTAATTTCGTAAAATGTAACACATAATTTAGTGCAAAAAATATGTAAAATTTAAGATCCGACATGTACACTTGGCACAAATTAAGCAAGGTGCATCTACATGTAACTGAATAATCCAACATCCATTTTATGAGCTGTTATAAAATGTTAGATTCTTATTAAACTTAGTATAGGTCTAGGCCAAAATTTAATTTTAATTTCGATCATTTTAGTCTTTTATAAGGAAAAAAAATAAAATGTCCAAATAAAAGAAATGCAATGACGTTATGAATCTGTCTTGTAAAGAACCAGACAGTCAGTGCTACAGTGTTAGGTGGCCAAGACAATTTGGGCTGATATTCTCAATTTCTCATGGTGATGGAATGACTGTTTAGCATGATGATCTCTTACAACGATTTTAACACTTGAAACATTTAATTTTGATAAAGTTTACATATTGAAAATGAAAAAAATATATCTAAAGAATCTATTTGCATGACATATTTATAAAATAAAAGAATGGAGATGACTTTAGGACATTTCTTTTGAATTCTTTATGATCATTTTATAAATTATCTCATCATCCTACCATACAAGCCACCTCCATTCTCTTATAAATACACCATGCAAACACCTCATCTAAATATATTATTTCCTTTTCAATACTAAAACTCTATTAAAATTGAAACTTGTGTTAAGTGGTAAAGTGTTTGCACGTATCATTCTTACAATCCTCGCATCACCATGAGAATATCCAGCCCAAATTATCTTAGCCCCTTCCAAGACACTAGCAACAATTGTCCGGTTCTTTACTAAATTATGATCTAAAATTTATACACAAGAAACAAATTAGACTAAATGAAGAGGCCTGTTTTCTAATAACATTGCTTTCTTTGTCTACAATAATTTGATTAAATGTCCTAACTGAAATCATTAAACATGGAAAAGAAGGCCTATCTGCCACTACAATTTCTTCAACTATACAGTGGCAGAGGTTTAGGTAGTATACACAAGATTTTGGATCAAATCTTGTTGTCACAATAAAAAATAAAAAATAAAAACCCTCATGGAAGTTCATACCTGGCATGACACTAGATTGAACCAGATACTAATCCCAATACTACAACCAAGTTAGATAGTTACATGCATTCAGTGCCTTTTAAGCATTTATAATTTACATAAACTTATATTAACTTTCCCATTTTTCCTTAATCAAAACATATTAGTTTTGACACTGACAGCTCATAAAAGTGAAAAATTACTGGAAAGGATTACATCATAACAGAAGTACCAAGTTCGGTGGAAGTAACGACATGGTTTCATCAGTCACCATTGAAGAAACTACAATAAACAAGAAAGAACACCTATACAAAGACCAAAGTTCACTGAGGGTCAATGTGTTTTATTATTCACCATGATTATTTCCCACGAAGTGACCTTGCAGCTTGGTGATGCGAAGGATAAGCTCAGTCTTTTTGAGTACCTTCAGGTTTCTACAGACAAAAACAGAAGTGTTAAATTGAGTGAAAGGAAAATGGGAGTAATAGCATGTTTTGGAAATATTTTTTCCCATCATTTCGGCTGTTTTCAATGAAAAAAACTGGTACAAAAAAAAAAAAAAAACTAGTTATTTGGGATCACAGTTTTAATTTGTAAACAGTTTTTTTCATTCTGAAATCTGAAAATTTGAAACTTATGATTATTTTTCAACATTTTTTCCCCTACAATTGATTTACTACATAAAAGTTATTTTTTTTTATTGTATCCGATCGTAGTTAAACACTTAAAAATCACTTTTCAACAAATTTACCTAAACAAAAATCCATTCCGATTATACCAACTGAAATTAACTGGTTGTTAGAGAAACTAACTGAAATTTATAAACAACTTTTTTTTTCCCTGAAAAATAAACTGTTTTTATGAAACTGTAAATGTAAATTTGAAGCATATGATTATTTCTTAACAAATTTTTCTTTTTAAGCTAATTTACTACCTATTTTTTTTGTTATACTCAAACAAAATTAAATATCTTAAAATCGCTTATTAGCAAACTTATACAAACAAAATTTCATTTTGATTATACTCTATTATAATAATCATTGATTATTGAAATAACTTAATTTTCACAGTTTTCCCAAACACACTCTACCATGAGATCCGCAAGAAAAATTCAATGGCACCAAATTGATAGAAAAAATGTAATAAATAAACGAAGCCATCCCATTTCAAAGACAGATTATAGGAATTTGTATAACCTATGGCCAAGGGATCAACTTGAAGGAATATCCAATTACAATACCCCAAGGCTAGTTGTTATTAAGTAAGTGCAAATCATAGTAACAGTTAACCAAGAAAGATCCTCTGCTATCCACAATCCACATGCTAGCACTCATTGGCAAATGATCCCCTTGACTCACAGCAAATCGAATGACATCCAAAAAAATGCGTGTAAAGGCAAACAAAATGTTCAAGAACAGAACCGTATAAGAAATCAGCATTTCAGCTGCTCTAGAAGGAATAACGCCATTTCACTGTCAAATAGCAAAAACAAGAGACAAATATCATGAGGCTAATTGTGCAGTAAAGAATTTTTCTAACTATGTGAATCCCTTATTGCATTGTAACAAGTGGTCGGTATGAGCAGTACTAAACTTAGTCTCTATCCCTTAAGCAAAGTCTCCGGTTTAAATGCTAAGATGCAAAAATGTAATTGAGAAAACAACATTTCCTATCAACGGAAATTAGTTTTTTTTCTGAGGGAAATTAGTCATTATCTAAATATTGGTATGAATAACATTGTCATTAAAAAAAATGGTTATTGCATGAGCCATAGCATAGGTAGCCAAAACAAATAAACAATAACAACAGTAAGAAGAAGGTTGGGTCAGGAAAAAAGAAAATCCCCGAAGTGAAAGTTAGAAAGTTGTGTACCTTATGAGCAGGATCTTTGTCCTTGTCGGCCTTGGTCTTCTCAGACTGTTGCTTCTGCTTCTCCAACCTCTCCCTCTCCCATTTCTGCAGACAAAGAAAGTTGAATATTAAGAATGAGATGAACACAAGCAATAGCATTAACGGTGAATAGGAGAAGGTACCTGGATGTAGACGTTCTCTTTGGCCTGTTCCTCCTCGCTCAGAACGCGACCCTTGTCGCTGAAGAAGCGAGTGAAAGCCCCTCGATTTGTTGAGTCCATGAAACGAGACACAGATCCACGATTCACAACCGATCTCATAGCCATTTCACGATGACGATATCACACACTGGAGGCGGTGGTGCTTGTTGGTATAAAAAAGAAAGAGTCAAAGACCCTAGAACTTACGCGTTTTATATATTGTATTATATTCACTAACTTCGGACCCTCACTGTGTCAAACTCCACCCGCTCCAACCGGACACAAACCACTTCAAAACAAAAACACATATATATGCTACCATAATTTTAAAAATTAGACCCCTCATTAAATTTATATTTATTAGAATATAAGATTAGTATGTCAAAAATTGAATCAGTGAGTTATTAATTAAATTGTATAACTCAAATCAAATTAATTCAAGACTTAGACTGGCTGAACCATCGATTCTTAGTACAACCGACCGGTCCAATTTGATTTTTAAAATAATGTATGCAAGAGATTACAACTTAATTTTATTTCTTACTTAGGATAAAAATTTAAAATTTCTACAATTTATTAAAAATTCAATTAATGTTGGTACTTTTTTAAGTTTAACATTAACATGTGAATTTTGGTATGTTCATTTAATTCAAAAATTAGGTATTTGTTAATTGTTGTAAATATTTAATAGGTGATTCTTCACATTTATTGTATAAATAAATAGGTTATTTAATTTTTAAAAATAATACACAGAATTCTTTATTGTCTTGTTTTTATTTTCTCTCTATTCTCTTTATTTTAAATTATAATTTCTAGTTTTATAACAAATTTCATGACATGATTTAAATTATAATAAACTATTTATATGTTTAAAGATATTTATTTGTTTTAATTTATAATTATATAAAAGAAAATTTTTTATACATTACATAAATTAAAATACTTTGTATAAATAAAGCTCTGTACCCAAAAAAAAATATAAAACACTAACTAATTTGTATTTTTTTAATATATAATAATAATAATAATAATAATAATATTATTATTATTATTATTATTATTATTATTTTAACTTAAAATCTTATACAAATTATGCAAAGACTTCACCAGACCAATAGCTCACGGTATGGTGTATACTTTTTTGACTTTGATTTGGAGTGGTTTGGCAAATCACCAATTTTTAATGGACATTAGGAGTCTTTTTTTTTTTATAAAAAAAATCTTAAAATATTCCTAGATTTATTTTATTCTCTGTTTTTTTATTTTTTTTATTTTACACTTCCAATATTTAATTTAAAACTTTCTCTCTTTTTTCTTTCACGCATTTGTCTTCTTTCTTTCTATTTTCACATGTATCATTTGTCTTCTCTCCACCTCCTTTCAATTTTTACATGAACTTAAAGACATAGAATTAATGTTTGTCGATATTGTAGGAACATGTACCTTTCTTGACAATATTTCAAAAAACGAGCCAAAGGTAAACACTTTTTTCCCTTTCAATACTCCAAAAAGCTCAATATTAATGTTATAGAAAATACTTTATCAAAATATTAATTTTAGGAGAATTTTTTAAAAAATAGTTAATTTAGTATTTGAAAAAGTATTTTTTAGAATTATGTATTTTACATACTTTCGAGAAGTACTTTTCGAACACTAAATATACTATTTTGAAAATAATTTTTCTTCAAGATTATGTAACACAAATAATTCTAAAAAGTTCTTTCTAAAATAATAAATTTAATGTTCTAAAAAATACTTTTTGAAATACTAAAATTAATGTTCCAAAAATTATTTCCTAAAATACTAAATTTAATGTGGTTTAGAAGTATGAAAAGAGTAGAAAGTGTTAAAAAAATGAACATTTATCTCAATACCTTTAATATTATTGAAGAAGTTGCATGTACCAACAACAACGTCATACACCAATTTTATAATTTGAGTACGTAAAAAAATATGAGAAGAATTAAAACTAAGAATGAGAAGAAGGCAAATAATATATATAAAAATTGAAAAGGAGAAGAAATAAGGTGTGTGAAAAAAAATGTTAAATTAAGAGATATAAAATTAAAAAATTAAAGAATAAAAAAAATTAAAGTTATTATTAGAAAAAAAATTTTCAAAAAGGAAGTGTATTTATTAAAAAAAAAATTGAAACTGTATACATCATTAGCCGAATGGCAAATGACGGTAGCGGCCCGGCCCAGCCCAGCTTAGATTGTTGTTGCTTCATGGATTCTTTGCATGATTATGTGTGTTGAAATTTTAAATTTTCATTTTCAGAAATCTGCTGTGACTTCAGGCCTCAGGGTAAAGGTAACACATTGTATTTTTAAAACAATTTATCGATATAAACCTGCTTTTTTAACCCCCTAAATGCACATGCATTCTTCTCTACAATTGAACAAAACTGTTTTTTATTTTTTATTTTTATTTTAATTTATCATATCTAAAAGAATAATTTTTGTATATCTTTTATTATTACACATTGTTATAAATAACTTAGTTGTGAGCTTTACTCATACAATTGTGTTGGCTGAAAATAATAGTCCATGCTAACTGTCATAACAAACTATGAAATAAGATACTAAATTATAAAGATAGATAAATATTCTATTCTCGGAAACAGAAATTTAAAATAAAATTCTTCATTAGTATCCTTTTTACATGTTGCATTTGAATTTTCACACTACACCACCATATACAAGAGATAGAATTACGCGTCCATGATCAAATAGATGTAGGGCCCGCTAGTCCACCCGTTCCTCCACCATAGTATGATATTGTCCGCTTTGGGGCCAAGCCCGCACGGTTTTGTTTTTGGGCTCCTTCCCAAAAGGCCTCATACTATGTGGACCATCTTGTACCGCCGTTAACTCTACGGGACACGCCGCCTGAACACCACAATATCAGGAAGACTTTCGACACAAGGCACCAAGTTCGAATCTCCATCGCGAGGCACAACACTGAGGGTCTTCCCGCATCAAACCCAGACGAACCGTCCATCGCGAGGCACAACACTGAGGGTCTTCCCGCATCAAACCCAGACGAACCGTTGGCTCTGATACCACTTGTTGGGCCCGATTGTCCACCTTTTTCCTCCACCATAGTATGATATTGTCCGCTTTGGGCCCAAGCCCGCACGGTTTTGTTTTTGGGCTCCTTCCCAAAAGGCCTCATACTATGTGGAATGGTGGACACTTATAAACTAGCCAATGTTCCTTCATTTTACCGATGTGGGACTTGGGATGAATCCCAACAAACCTCCCCTCAGACCAAGGACCACATGTCTCGTGATCTCCTCCCCTCAAGCGATAATCCGTCACCATCTTGTACCGCCGTTAACTCTACGGGACACGCCGCCTGAACACCACAATATCAGGAAGACTTTCGACACAAGGCACCAAGTTCGAATCTCCATCGCGAGGCACAACACTGAGGGTCTTCCCGCATCAAACCCAGACGAGCCATCCATCGCGAGGCACAACACTGAGGGTCTTCCCGCATCAAACCCAGACGAACCGTTGGCTCTGATACCACTTGTAGGGCCCGATTGTCCACCTTTTGGACCACCATAGTATGATATTGTCCGCTCACGGTTTTGTTTTTGGGCTCCTTCCCAAAAGGCCTCATACTATGTGGAATGGTGGACACTTATAAACTAGCCAATGTTCCTTCATTTTACCGATGTGGGACTTGGGATGAATCCCAACAATAGAAATGACACCACACGTTTTCTGAAATTCCCCTGTTGTATGCTGGTCTCATACTCAGCCAATTTGGTATATAGCCGTCCTCTTGTTTCTTTTTTTGTTCTCTTCAATTATTCTTTAGAATATCTCAAGATTCCTCTTTTATTCGATTCCTTTCTTGGGAACAAAGTCATTTTACTTATTTATTCTATTTTTTTCATCATTTTTCTTATTATGACTAGTAGATAGTAGATTGTCTTGTAGTATTAGGAATATCACTTTAATTAAAACAGAGATTAGTCTGTAGGCAATGTTGTTAATATTTGTTTTTTCTGCCTTCACTCACTAGTTATGGAAGAGTAGAAAAAGGCAAAAACATCTTTATATCAATACATATATTTACTCCACCTCTTTTGCCCCTTTCTCTTGTTCTCTTTATCTTTGGCCTTCTTAGGACTTGTATTTTAGTCTTTCATGATTAAAAGATCAGTGAGAAATCAATACGAAGAACCATAGTCCATAGCTGTTTGTAACTGCTGCAATCTACGGTACTACTACTGTATATCAACTTTTTGCATTGTTCATTTTTTTTTCTTTTACTTATTCTTCATTGGTTTGAAATTGATAAAACAATAGTAGGGCCGAATGGTTTGATCTTTAGCTAATCCATGTAACTTATATTAACTCAGTTTCTCTGCTAGAATTCATTTTAATTGGAGGACAAACTAAGAGGAATTACTTGCATGTGATGTGTCATAATTAGCTGGGCCCTCTATGTTTTGTGTTTTTAGTCACTGTGTTGGTTTTGCATGTTAGCCTCACACAGACACAGACATATAGTAGTTTCTCTGCATATAAGCCTCACACGTATACTAAAACCATGGGACCTCAAAACCATGGTCTTACAGCTACCGACTGAAATTAATGACCCGTGCATGTGAGTCTGTGAAAGTTTCCAAACTGCAATGTGATGCTGTGGTAATGCCTTGCTGCACCGTTGTTCTTGTTTGTTTCCGTAACTGCATTAATACGAGAAATTATTATATGATATGCTGTTAAATGGTGAGTTATGTCCTGGTTCAATTCCACAAATCACCTAATAAGTTATAATATAAGAATTATCTTTATTTATATATTTATTTTAATTATATCACTAATTGATGAAAGATTTTCGATACATCTTTTGATGGGAGTTATATATTTCAAACATAAAATTTTCAGTAATAAAATTTTGTGAATAATCCAATAACAACTCGATAAGTTTAATATCAATTGTTAATCTAATATTATTTTAGAAATATAAATTTAGGTGTAACTCATCTAAAAAAAATCTAAAGTGAGAATTAATTCGTATATATATATATATTACTTTGGTTATAAAGTGAGAGTTAATCATGTGAAATTGACTAGATCATGAACAATGTTGTTTCTAAATCATACAATAATTTATCACATTGATAGGCCTCTGGGCTCTTACCTTTTAAACTTCGAGAATATAAAACTGCATAAAAAATTACAAGACAAACTCTTGTCAAGTGAAGAGGGAAAAGTGATAATAAATTCACTAGTCATGGTAAATTAAAATCTATTAAATTGTGTCTGCACCCTAGGATATTTCATGTGGGGTCATTACTTACAAAGGAAAACTCTGGAATTGAATCGTGCATTTATTCATCCTTTCTTGTCTTTCTCTTTTTCGTTAATCCTAGATTTCCTGGTAGGCCTACAATATCTCACCACTTCTATCCATTGATAAACAGTTGGCTGTAATGCCACAGTAGAGGACGATCACAACATTTTTGCGCTGGTTACCTTTGTTTAATGGTCACGATTTAACTCGTACTAAGCTTTCACCACCACCATTCATTTTGTTGTTGTCATTATCTAAGAATTTTCACTTCCTAGTTTAAAATTGAAGAACTGTGGTTGGTTATGTTGAATATTAGGCATTCAGCAACTGAACAACTCAATTATACTTCCACACAGGGTCGAGCAAAGGAAACAATGGGATCTAGAGGCCGAGTGACAAAGGTTGAAGTTCAGCAGAAGCCTCTCTCAAGGGTTCCAAACACGAAGCCACCATTCACTGTTGGCCAACTCAAGAAAGCAATTCCACCACACTGCTTTGAGCGTTCTCTCTTGTACTCATTCTCCTATGTTGTTTATGACCTTTCATTGGCCTTCATTCTCTACATTGCCACCACCTACTTCAACCTCCTCCCCCACCCTTTTTCCCTCATCGCATGGCCCATATATTGGTCCCTCCAAGGTTGCATTCTCACTGGTGTGTGGGTGATTGCTCATGAGTGTGGCCACCATGCCTTCAGCAAGCACCAATGGGTTGATGACCTTGTTGGTTTGACCCTTCACTCAGCACTTCTAGTCCCTTATTTCTCATGGAAAATAAGCCACCGGCGCCACCACTCCAACACAGGTTCCCTAGACCGTGATGAAGTGTTTGTTCCAAAAGACAAATCCAAAGTTGCATGGTACAGCAAGTACTTGAACAACCCTCTAGGAAGAGCTCTTTCTCTTCTCATCACACTCACACTAGGATGGCCCTTGTATTTGGCCTTCAATGTTTCTGGCAGACCCTATGATCGTTTTGCAAGCCACTTCCACCCTTATGCTCCCATATATTCACACCGTGAAAGGCTTCTGATTTTTGTTTCTGATGCTGCTTTGTTTTGTGTAACTTACTTTCTCTACCATATTGCAATCACAAAAGGGGTGGCTTGGCTGGTTTGTGTCTATGGGGTGCCATTGCTCATTGTGAATGGCTTTCTTGTGACCATAACATATTTGCAACACACACACTCTGCATTGCCTCACTATGACTCATCAGAATGGGACTGGCTGAGGGGTGCTTTGGCAACTGTGGACAGAGATTATGGGATTCTGAACAAGGTGTTTCACCACATAACTGATACTCATGTGGCTCACCATCTATTCTCCACAATGCCACATTACCATGCAATGGAGGCAACCAATGCAATCAAACCCATATTGGCCGACTACTACCAATTTGATGGCACCCCATTTTACAAGGCGCTGTGGAGAGAAGCAAGAGAGTGCCTCTATGTGGAGCCAGACGAAGGAACATCTCAGAAGGGCGTTTATTGGTATAGAAACAAGTTTTGATGAAGAAAACATGTGCCATAGTGTGGGAGTTCAAAGTTTTGTCATGTACTATCACTTAATAAGTGGATTTGCTGTGTAATCACTACTGTATTGTGAAATAGCTTGTTTCCATCATGGTCATAATGGAAAAATAATTGTAGTACTATTAATTATATGTGGAAAGACTTTTCTGCTTATAGTAGTTCCTTTCTTCCACAAATGCGCAAAAGCAATATTATTGGTAATTTTTACGTCTTTATCTGGGGGTGGAAGGTCAGAACAACTTGGACACTGGTGTTGTTTTCCAAGGTTATTTATTAAAATCGAATTAATCTTATTAACATTGAACAAATAAAACCTTGTTACTCCACTAATTGTTGGAAATTAGAGTTCCATAGTAGTATAGTACACGTTAGTTTGAAAGTTTTTTTTTTTTTTTTTTAATGATAGAAGGTTAGGTTAGATATACAAAGTTTAGAATTCAGTCTTAAATAATTTCACACTTGTATTTTGTAATAAAAATCAAGATTCAGTTTCCCCTTAAGCTTGAAATCGCCAATTGGAGTTATACTTCTTGATTATTCTTAAAAAAATAAGATTCAATTGGAATTCAAATTATCTATCTTCACTCAAACATTTAATTGTTGAAAATTTTAAGGTAACAAATACAGCAAATCCTATGCAATCATTGTCAACACCTATTAGTTTAAAAAAGTTCCCTTTTAGAAAGAAGTATACGAGTCATTGATAGATCAATTTCACAGTCGCCTTCTCCTCGGGGTACTTTGGATTCGGTTAAAAAAAAAGGTAATGGACAATATAACTATAATTATATTTAATTCATTTATTTATCATCTATTTAATTTATCTACAAGTAAATTTATTTAATTTATTCATTATAATAAAAATAAATAATAAATCAAATCTAATTCATTTAATTAAATTCTTATAAAAGATTACTATTTTTATGTTTTATTATAGTTATTGAGTGAAAAATAAAAATAAATCTATGTGCAATCTTTTCATAAAAATAAGATTTAGCCAAATGAGTTTTCTTTTCATAATTGTTTTTTGTTTGTTTTGGCATCATACAGACCAATCTTTTTATGTACAAAAATTCATTTAAGAGGCTTACATGTTCTAATAAATGTTCTGTTTTTACACATGAAAATAAGTTAATTTTTTTTATAATATTCTCTTGAATTTAGACAAATATTGTAGCTTTGTAATTTTTTTTACCAGTACCTGTTATAAAGGGATAGATTAATGAAGTGGTTCTGTTATCAGTAATAGTAATAATAATAATAAATAAATAAATAAATAAAAACTTCTTTAAATTTCATCCAAATCAGCATGACTGTTATTCTTTATTATTTATTTTTTGTTCTAAGAAACTTCTTATATCTTAAAAAGAAAGAAAAGAAAGAAAAGAAAAAAAAGAAGAAAATTGTGTCGCGGAGCAGCAAGGTAGACGACGTTGGTTGACGAAAGTGATAAAAGCGGTGTGATTGTTGGGCGATTAGAAGAGAACAGATCCACTGAGGTTAGTTTCTTTCTCCTTTCTCTCAGATTTCGTAAATCTCTCCATTAGATCACATGCTTCCCTCTGCCCCTTTCCCTCTGCGCCCCGTAAAATTCAGGGTCGAATACAAACTGGGTTCTTCAGTTTCACTCTAGATTTTCACAATTTCAAAGTCTGCATGTACTAACGCAACCCCATCGTCCCCCTTTTCTCATTTAACAATTATGAATTCATCATTTTCATGTGATCATCGTTGCATGAATTGAATTATATTAGGTTTAGTTTCCGATCTCGATTAAATTTTCCATTTAGGGTTTTATTAGGTCAGTACTTCTTGCTATCACAGTTTAAGGCTTTTCTTTGTGATTGATTTTGCTATTTACATCTCGGATTGGTTGTTGTCCGATTCAGGTGTTGGTGTCATTGTTTGTTCCTTCTGGTGGTGGAGCTTGTTGGGAATTGGAGATGAGTCAGAGGGGTTTGATATATAGCTTTGTTGCCAAAGGAACTGTTGTTTTAGCAGAGCACACGCAATATACGGGGAATTTCAGCACCATTGCTGTTCAGTGCCTGCAGAAGCTGCCTTCAAATAGCAGCAAATACACGTATTCCTGTGATGGTCACACCTTTAACTTCCTCCTAGACAATGGATTTGGTATTGATTCTTCCCCGTTTGTTTTTATGTACTAGTGTATTACCTGCCGTGCTGATTTGGATGTTATATGTATGCCAATGTCTGAAAAAAAATTTCTATGCTTTGCAGTTTTTCTTGTTGTTGCTGATGAATCAGTTGGGAGGAGTGTTCCTTTTGTGTTTCTTGAACGGGTGAAGGATGACTTTATGAAGCGCTACGGTGCTAGCATTAATAATGACAGTGCCCATCCACTTGCTGATGATGATGACGACGATGATTTATTTGCGGACCGATTTAGCATAGCATATCATCTTGATAGAGAATTTGGGTTCGTTTTTTCTTGATCCTCTTTAAATTTTTGTTTACTTCTCTTTAGTTTTGTTATTAGTGTTTTAAATTTTTGATCTGGTTATGCAGACCAGCGCTCAAGGAGCATATGCAGTATTGCATGAATCATCCAGAAGAAATGAGTAAACTATCAAAATTGAAGGCTCAAATAACCGAGGTCAAGGGTATTATGATGGACAATATTGAGAAGGTATATGATACTAAGTCTAATGACATGCAAACTCTTGGCTGCTAATTGCTGTTAAATGTTTTTAGGCATGGTTTCTAGTACAATTGTACAAGTGCTAACTAATTTATCACTGGATGTGCTGTTCTATTGTTTGTGTGATTTTGCTTGGAAGTGGTTTTAATTTTGGGGAAGGGGAGAAAGGAGAAAAGAGTTGTAAATAAGGGATGATAACATTAGTTTTGCTTTGCTGTTTCAAACTAGTGGATTTTAATGTGGCTTCCTTTCCTAGTGGGACTCAAAATTTTGGGCTTAAGAATTTTGAAGTCCATATGCTCAATACAATACGAGTACGATATGACACGGTTATAGGGATGTGAGAAATTCTTTAAAATTCAAGATATGATACAACCTAGATATATTGACATGAATTTAGGGGATAAAAAACACTTCACATAAATGCACAATATTCATAAAGAAATATTGATCATTTCTCAATAATACTGGTACATGGCTTAGATGGTTATATCAGTGTAAATCTTATGAGTGTCTTTAGACACAGCCAACGAAAAATTTCAACACAAAAAAAATACAGCATAGAAAAAAAAATGGTTTCGTAGTGGGCAGGTTCTCTTCCCTTTCCTTTCTCTGTTTTTCAATTTAACATATCCCTCCCTTTCCCCTTCCTGAGCAGTGAAATCATATTAGGATGGACAACTTGGTTGACGTTTTTTACTCACTTGTTGAACCTATCACCTATGCTCTGCTTTTTCTTAAAATATCTAAAAACAAAAAATTATCCACAATGGATTCATGAGAAATCCAATTGAAGATAAATGTCTGTTGTTCTCATAATTCACTGAAATGGCTGTTGTTTTTCATTTTTCTTTGTGGACCACCAATGGAGTTTATTTATTGCTCAAGAACAAGAAAGGAGGGGGATAACAATATAAGAGCTTTACTTGTATATTATACTTTGTTATTGTTGTCATAGAATTGTTTAAACCATCCACTGCCACAATATTTTTGCATCCTTCTACTTCCCAAAACCTTTGAAAATAAGACACCTGACATTCACCTAGAGCTGCAAAGAGATTATTCACTCAGAAAGCACCCCACCTGACAATGTGAAATTAATCGGTTATCAACCTGTTAAACTATTGATTGTGATACTGTTTTCTTTCCAAGAACTTTTATAGGATTAAGTGGTCATTTTAGATATTTTTTTGGTGCTTTGTTACTGGTTTCTCACCTAGTGGAACAATGTTGTTGTGTTGTTTACGACTGGCTATTTTAGAGGTTTTTATACCTCAATAAGCCAGAGCTTTGCAGAATTGCTATGTTCTTTTTAGTTAGTCCTGTTTTTTTGGTAATCTCTTTTTCTCTCACACAAAACACAAAATTGCAATTTTGTTGGTTGGCATGAACCTCAACTTGCAGCCTAGCAGATTTTGTTAATGTCTATGGATATTGCATTGCCTCACCCTTTTACAACCTATTTTTAAACTATTCACCATAATTTTTTTAATCTCAGTGTGAAAAAACAGTTGAGTATATCAGGATGGTAATAAACATTTTTAAGTGCTGACTAAAGGGCAAGGCCAATAAAGAATAAATGTTATGTCGCACATGTATTTTAATGTTATACTGATTAAAATTCATTTATGCTAAAAGTTAACATGTTTTAAATAGTAAATGTACAAATTTGTTTATGAACTTGTTTACAATAATAATCAATGTATATAGTTACTAAAAGGCCACAGGACCATCATGATGGGGAGAGAGAGACACATTTTACTGTGTAGGGACCAGCCATGGTGGGTTATGAGGTCCTCTAGCTATATTTAGAACTGTGCCTTTATCTGTGGCAGGACCTTCTCTTGTTATTTAAACAGAAGAGAGGTTCTGGATCCAACATTTGGTGAAAATGTCCCTTTTAGACCATTGTAGCTTCTTGAGATTGCTTGGGTTTGATTTCGTAGCATATTAGATGTGCATGACCTTCAAAGGTTGTATTTCAATAATCTCCCATTTGGTTACATACAGAAGTACGTTTGGTGAATTAAAATTAAGAAAGGCTCTACTGCTATAGACTTTGACCCACATAGAATTGAGAGAGAATATTTTAGCATATTAGATGTGCATGACCTTCAAAGGTTGTATTTCAATAATCTCCCATTTGGTTACATACAGAAGTACGTTTGGTGAATTAAAATTAAGAAAGGCTCTACTGCTATAGACTTTGACCCACATAGAATTGAGAGAGAATATTTTGATCTCATCTAAACTGTTAGGGACTGGTAAAAAAAATTTAGAACAAGAGACAGCTTTAACATTTTAACTTCATTGAAAAAGCCACTTCGTCGCTCAATATTAAGCACTTTTACAGTGTGTTTGGATGTGGAATTTAAATGGAGTAATTCATTTATTTGAAGAATTTCAAATTCTTTGAGGTAAAATGCCATGTTTGGATTAAGAATTGATAAAGAATTTGAAATTCAAGTATTTTTAAAATTTTTTGAAATAGTAAAATTTCAAATTTTTCCAAAAATGTAAGAATTTGAAATTTTTCATATTTTTTTCTTCTTATTTCACTTATATATTTTATTTTATCTCTTATCTTTTCATGTTTTTAATTATTAAATATTCAAAAATATTTTTAAAATTATATATTAATTTTTAAAATGATTAAATATTTAAAAATTAGCTAATATTTATTTTTATAAAATTTAATTTAAAAATCTCAACATATAAATATATTTTTAAAATCATTGGCGGAATCAAATTATCATATCTAACCTAATAATTTAAAATTTAAGAAATTTGAATTAACTTATATCTAAACAAAATATTTTAAGAATGATAGAAATTGAAATCAAAGTAATTCAAATATAAAAAATTTAAAATTCCTTAAATTTGTAAAATTTCTCATACAAACACACCATTAATCAACATTTGCACTTACTGTTTTGAAGGTTTTGGATCGTGGAGAGAAGATTGAACTGCTGGTAGACAAAACAGAAAACTTGCAGTTTCAGGTGTGTATTATTATACGGATCAAGCATTTGTACCTCTCCTTTTGTTTATCCAAAAGAAACATTATAGTTTGAATCAACTAGTCTGGACCCTGAAGTATACTGATGTATTTTCCGTTCAAATTTAGGCTGACAGCTTTCAGAGGCAGGGCAGGCAGCTGAGAAGAAAGATGTGGCTGCAGAATCTCCAAATGAAGTTGATGTTGGGAGGAGGAATCGTTACCTTAATTATAATTCTGTGGGTTATTGCTTGTGGGGGTTTCAAATGCTGATGGAGACATGAGAAATTTGGAAAGGGATGCACAAAATGATATACTACTGTACATGAAATTTGGCACTGGAATTTATGTTTACTGTCATAGACTGTAATTATGCTTGGGGTGAGCTGCTAGTTATTTTGAACCAAGCTCTTACTTTAGATGTGGCAAATCTGGATGTTTGTGTATATCATTACAATGCTTTTACCACTATATAAACTATTGACTCTTGCCCTGTCTTTAAGTTTAATTATCTGTTTCGAATTTCAATTAAAAAAAATGTTAACCAGAGTAACATGGGATAAAAAGCGGTAGCAGGTAGCAGGTACGATAGAGAAGATTGCAACATACGTAACCAAAACATTCTATATTGGAATAAATTTCGATGTATTGAAATATATAATTGATACTACCAATATTATGTATTATAAATCATCTTATAAAAATTAGTATTTTTTTTGGACAAATTGGTATTTTATAAGTAATTCAAGTATTATGTAAAACAAAATATATATTTCGTATGTTATATTTATCTATAATTTAACTATAATTAATCATAAAAATTTAAAGTAAAAGTTAAAATTCAATTTTACTCAAATAATACTATTTTTAATAAATTACTTAACGAAAAATTTAATAAATAAAAAAGAGTAATATACCTAGAAATTTTTTAAATCAAATTTTTAATTTCAACGATAAAGTTAAAACATATAAAAGTTGACCCCATGTATTAATTTTTATCTATAACTTTTTGTGATAATTAATTTATATAAAGATATAACCACTAACAAAATCATATTTTTTTCTATAAATAAATGCATATATTAAATGAGTTTAATAGTTATGTATAATCAGAAATTCTGGTTGTATCTTAAGTGCATTTTTAAACTTACGATATATATCTTAATTTTTTCTCCATTGCAAACAATCTAAGTGGCGTCATGAATTGCGTAATTTAAAACATCATCTCCCATATAAGATACAATTGTTTAACATAAAAATCAAAATTAATATAAAAATGTGAGTATTTTAAAAGCTGCTTAAAATTTTACCATTGATATAAAATTATAGTGGGTTGTTCAAATGATTTGACAACGTGAGACTTAATACAATAAAATAAGACACACATTTAAGATACACCCAATGCTTTAGTATATATAAAATGAAATCAATAAATATAACATTTAATATTAAAAATATCATTAAATATTTAATGAATTCAATAATTATATCATTTAATACTGAAGTTATTATAAAAATTAGATAAATTAAATAAATATATTATCTAATATCAAAGACATTGTAAATTTTAAATGAGTTTAATATATATAATATTTAATATGAAAATACTATCGTAAATATTGAATTACGTTAATAAACATTACACTTAATATTTAAACTATTCTAAATGTTGAACGAATCTCTTTGGTATTGAAATATTAAATTAATTTAGAACATATAACTTTAATATTAAAACGATTATAAATAATGAACAATTTTGAATAATAAAACATTTAATTTTAAAAGTATTATACATATTAAATAAATTTTATAAATATTTTATCATTTCATTATTAATTCTATAAATATAACATAAAATGTAAAATCTATTATAAAAATAAATTGATATTAATAAATATTAAATGAAATTTTTAGGTAACTATGATAATTGTGCAAAATATTCAATATCTTTACTAATGTCTAATCGTTGTGGAACTTCACATGTCATTTTTAGTGAATTCTTTCATTTCAACTATAATTTTTAAATTTCTAACATTTGAATTTGAGACTTAAATCATCTCTAACATTTGAATTTGAGACTTTATTTAAGGACCTAAGAGCAACTCTAATGGGAGTTGCTTGTCCCATGAAGCAACTCAAGCCTCGATTTTTTGTTATTGGAAGACTCTGACGTGGTAACACGAGTTGCTTGAAGAAGAGAGAGAATTGTTTCCTCAAGCAACCGTTCCTTACCAGATTTCAAGCAGATCTTATTGAACATATTTGAGAACATTTCAAAAATAATAATGATAAAAATTAATTTGATATAATATTTATGTATTTATTATTATTTTATTTTATTTTTAATATCTACTTATTGTGTATTTTTTCTCGTAATTTATTTTCTTTCATTGTAGTGTAATTATCTTTTTTAATAAAAATTTAAATTTGGTACATAAATGATTAGAAAAAAAAATTTAAAAGTTGAATTTCTTAAATTTTCTTACCATTAAAATAAATGTGTTTAAGTTGTTTAATGCTGACATAGTACACTGGGGACCACTTTTTTCATTTTTTAATGCATGAAGCAACTCAAATGAGTTGCTTCTATTGGAGATGCCCTAAGTCTATTTTAATTTAAATTAATAATTTATTGGTTAATATTAAATTTCTTTTTCATTCATAAAAATTACAATGATAATACCATGGCTTGAATTGACATATTTTAATATTTAAGACAATTTATTTAATATTAAATTATTTTAATAAATATTTCAATTAATTTTACATAAAACTACTCTAAATATTAAATGAATTTAATATATATTACATTTAATTAGAACTATTCTACAAATTAAATGAATTTAATAAATATAACATGTAATATTATAATTATTCTAAATATTAAATGAATTCAATAAATATAACATTTCATATTAAAATTATTATCAATATTAAATGAATTTAATAAATACATCATTTAATATTAAAACTATCATAAATATTAAATAATTTGAAATGAATTTAATAAATAAATCATTTAATATTAAAACTATTATAAATATTAAAACTAAATCTATTTTAAATATTAAATTAATGTAATATATATAATATTTATTATTAAAGTAGTATTGTAAATATTGAATTAATTTAATAAATATAACCATTAAATTTTATTTCAAATTATTAAAAATTTAAATATATTTTTAGTCCTTATAAAATTAACAAGTTTTAATTTTGGTTTATGTAATTTTTTTTTTTTACTTTTTATCTCTTTAAGATTAGAACTATTATTTTTAATCCTATTTTGATGCGACTATTTTTAATTATTTTTTACTAATTAAAAGATTAAATGATCATTCTAGTGATATTATACCAATATTTGCACCAAGCAAATTATTTGATTTTAGCAATAATTTGACTTGCAGGCAAGTTATTGCTAAAATTATTTGATTACAATTTTTCTCCTTCAATTTATAAAATTTATAATTTTAGTTTAACCATTATATATATA